GTTTTGAGAGAAAAAGTCAGAATTTTGAGATTTTGTGAAAAAGTCAGAATTTTGAGAAAAAATACGAAATAAAAAAAAAAATCGAAATCTGAGATTTTTTGAAAAAGTCGGAATTTTTAGATTTTGAGAAAAAGTGACGAGTGAGATTTTTCTAACAGAATCCTTAAACCTTTGCTTCCTCTAGGTGTCCTCCTGCCTACCACGTCGACACAGATAAAGGCTTCAACTTTTCTGGAGTTGATGAGTCCTTCGTTTGCCAAAAGAAGAATCATTTCCAGGTCACGGTTCACATCGGCGTGGCCGCGGAGCCGCAGTTCGTCCGAACGCCCAGCGGCCCGCAGCCCGTCGATCACTTCCAGATAAAAGTGTTCGGGATCAAGGTAGGTACCAAAACTCTTCAACCTTACGGTAGATGTAGTCAGAGACGGCAAAAGTACACACATCCTTTACTCAAGTAGAAGTAGAGATACTCGTGTTTAAACTTTACTTTAGTTTGAATGTGTGTTTGGTGGCGTGGTCATTATTCTTCAGTCATTGCGTGCCTATTGATTTGAACACGATCCGTGTATCCATCATTTCCTGGTCTTCTCTAAAGAAGAGGGACCAATGGAAACGTTGTCATGTTGCCGTTGTTCAGCATGGAAACATTCATTAGCTAACAATGACATTATTGTTCTATTAATATAAAGGGAGGTCAGGTACTCTTTAAAGCAGCTGCTAGTTATGGGTACTATTTACTGAAGTACATTTCAAAGCCTCTTTACTTTGACTTGAGTAAAGAAGTTTAGTCAGTACTTCTACTTTCACCAGAGTATTTTTAAACACGAGTATCTGTACTTCTACTTGAGTAAAGGATGTATTTTTCCATCGCTGACCAGGTAATATTGCAGTACTGTAGAATAGACACCAAAAAATAAATATATATCTCACTCCTCACAGCTGGAGTCTCCGAGCCACCAGGTGACGATCGAGCAGTCGCAGCCGGACCGGAGCAAGAAGGCTTTTCATCCCGTCAGGTAGATAACGGAGGAAGAGTCCCTACCATGGTCACATGCACCAGCTATTAGTCCAAATTCACCCCGAAACCCCTCGGGTGCTTGATGGAACGAGCATTCATTTAACTTGTTATAGATATTCGGTCAAGATGTAGAAACCATTGGATAGCAACCTGCTAGTGTTTTGGAATGTGATATTGTTGGTTGATAGCAGTCTTTACGTTATGCATTAACAGAAGCTGAATAAACAAAAAAAACATGTATTAATGAAAGAAATGCTCTTCCTCCAGGGTCAGTCTTCCTAGCGGTAAAATCACAAAGGTAACGCTCGGCCGACTTCACTTTAGCGAGACGACGTCCAACAACATGAGGAAGAAAGGAAAACCCAACCCTGACCAGAGGTGTGAGAGTTAGTGACTTTGTGGATTCATGACTGCACGAACTGTCAGAGCGACGTACTGATTGAGTTTGTCTTTAGATATTTCCAGATGGTGGTTGGTCTCTACGCTGCAGTGAGAGGAGAAGAAACCTTCCTCCTCGCGGCTTTAATGTCCGAGAAAATCATCGTCAGGGTAAGAAAACACGCCTTAATCCAGGGGTGAGAAACCACATCTGATAGGAGGAGATGTTGAGCATCAGCTTGCACATACTACTTTAAAGCAGACGACTGTCTCTTGGCGTAAAGAAGTGGAATTCTTTGCCGAATGATTTAAAGGGCTGTCAGAAAATGTTTATGTTTAAGAAAATGTATAAAGAAAGCGTAATTAAGTACAGTAAGGTACGTTTATTTATATAACACATTTTCAGACAAAGAGGCAATTCAAAGTGCTTTACATTATCATTAACACTCAATAAGAAGACAACAATAACTAAACACAATGGAATAACAGAGTCATAAAAACATTCATAAAAGAGATACACATCAAAAAAACATTTTGAAAATACGGCAGGTGCTAAAACAAGTTAAAAGACTTCTGGGTAAACAGCTGAAAAAAGTAATGTTTTTAGCCTCGATGTAAAAGAACTCAGCGTTGGTGAAGACCTCAGGTGTTCTGGAAGGTTGTTCCATGTGTAGTATTTGTACTCCACTACTTCCCACCTCTGACCTTCCCCCTCCGCAGGCCTCTAACCCGGGTCAGTTTGAGATGGACGGAGACGCCCTGTGGCAGCGGGGGGGGTTTTCCGGACGCTTTAGTTTGCCACGGTCGAGTGGGCATCAACACAGATTCCCCCGATGAGGCGTTAGTCGTCTGTGGCAACGCCAAAGTGATGGGAGCCGTGATGCAGCCGTCAGACCGCCGCGCCAAGGAGAACATCCAGGAGGGTGAGACAAGGACAGACAACTTTAAAGGTCCCCTATCATACTGTTTTCCATCAATATATCACAGCTCTCAGATATATCCAGAGCCTGTCTCTGATTGGCTGGAACACCAAACAGATCATTGCAGCATTACCCATAATCCCCTCTGTTTCAGCCCTGTTTCCAAAGTGCTGATTCTCTGTCTGTTACTTTATGAAAGTAAGGAGCCCCTCCCCACGCCCCTCTGAGAGACATTTGGTTACAAAGAACTCAATGGAGCTCTAGAGGAGATTCAGGTGATACGGTGGGGGGGGGGGGGGTTACCTTGGTTGCTGATTGGCTAATGGTTACACAAGACAAAACATCGTTATGACATCATCAAGTGGCCAGGTTTTTATAAAAATGGATCAAAAAGAGAGAGAATCTTTGTTCCTGAAACTTTCAGAGTCTCTTTCCACAGAGGGGACACATGTTGATGTAGAAGAGACATGAAGAAGAGGGGACACATGTTGATGTAGAAGAGACATGGAGAAGAGGGGACACATGTTGATGTAGAAGAGACATGGAGAAGAGGGGACACATGTTGATGTAGAAGAGACATGGAGAACAGGGGACACATGTTGATGTAGAAGAGACATGAAGAAGAGGGGATACATGTTGATGTAGAAGAGACATGAAAAGAGAGGGGACATGTTGATGTAGAGAGACATGAAGAAGAGGGGATACATGTTGGATGTAGAAGAGACAGAGAGAGGGATCCACTGTTGATTGTAGAAGAGACATGAAGAAGAGGGATACCTGTTGATGTAGAAGGAGACATATGTGAAGAAGAGGGGACACATGTTGATGTTAGAAGAGACATGAGAGAAGAGGGGACTACCATGTTGATGTAGAAGAGACATGCAAGAAGACGGGGACACATGTGATGGTAGAAGAGACATGAGAAGAAGGGGACCTACATTGTTGATGTAGAAGAGGAAACATGAAGAAGAGGCGGACACATGTTGATGTAGAAGAGGACATGAATGAAGAGGGGACTACATGTGATGTAGAAGAGACATTGAAGAAGAGAAGAGGGGACTACATGTTTTGATGTAGAAGAGACATGAAGAAGAGGGACCACATGTTGATGTAGAAGAGACATGAAGAAGAGGGGACTACATGTTGATGTAGAAGAGACATGAAGAAGAGGGGACACATGTTGATTGTAGAAGAGGACATGAACGAAGACTGGGACACATGTTGATGTAGAAGAGACAGGAGAAAGAGGGGACACATGTTGATGTAGAAGAGACCATGAAGAAGAGAGGACACATGTTGATGTAGCAAGAGACATGAAGAAATGGGACACATGTTTGATGTAGAAAGAGGACATGAGAAGAGGGGACACATGTTGATGTAGAAGAGGACCATGAGAAGAGGGGACACATGTTGATGTAGAGAGACATGAAGAAGAGGTGTGACACATGTTGATGTAGAGAGACATGAAGAAGAGGTGACCACATGTTGTATTAGAAGGAGACATGAAGAAGAGGGGACACATGTTGAGTAGAAGAGACATGAAGAGAGGGACACATGTTGATGTAGAAGAGACATGAAGAAGAGGGGACACATGTTGATGTAGAAGAGACATGAAGAGAGGGGACACATGTTGATGTAGACGAGACATGAAGAAGAAGGGGACACATGTTGATGTAGAAGAGACATGAAGAAGAGGGGACACATGTTGATGTAGAAGAGACATGAAGAAGAGGGTACACTGTGATGTAGAAGAGACATGAAGAAGAGGGGACACATGTTGATGTAGAAGAGACATGAAGAAGAGACGACACATGTTGATGTAGAAGAGACATGAAGAAGAGGGGACACATGTTGATGTAGAGGAGACATGAAGAAGAGGGGACACATGTTGATGTAGAAGAAGAGCATGAAGAAGAGGGGACACATGTTGATGTAGAAGAGACATGAAGAAGAGGGGACACATGTTGATGTAGAGGAGACATGAAGAAGAGGGGACACATGTTGATGTAGAGGAGATATGAAGAAGAGGGGACACATGTTGATGTAGAGGAGACATGAAGAAGAGGGGACATATGTTGTGTAGAGGAGACATGAAGAAGAGGGGACAAATGTTGATGTAGAAGAGACATGAAGAAGAGGGGACACATGTTGATGTAGAAGAGACATGAAGAAGAGGGGGACACATGTTGATGTAGAAGAGACATGAAGAAGAGGGGACACATGTTGATGTAGAAGAGACATGAAGAAGAGGGGACACATGTTGATGAAGAAGAGACATGAAGAAGAGGGGACACATGTTGATGTAGAGGAGATATGAAGAAGAGGGGACACATGTTGATGTAGAGGAGACATGAAGAAGAGGGGACATATGTTGTGTAGAGGAGACATGAAGAAGAGGGGACATATGTTGATGTAGAAGAGACATGAAGAAGAGGGGACACATGTTGATGTAGAAGAGACATGAAGAAGAGGGGACACATGTTGATGTAGAAGAGACATGAAGAAGAGGGGACACATGTTGATGTAGAGAGACATGAAGAAGAGGGGACACATGTTGATGTAGAAGAGACGTGAAGAAGAGGGGACACATGTTGATGTAGAAGAGACATGAAGAAGAGGGGACACATGTTGATGTAGAAGAGACATGAAGAAGAGGGGACACATGTTGATGAAGAAGAGACATGAAGAAGAGGGGACACATGTTGATGTAGAAGAGACATGAAGAAGAGGGGACACATGTTGATGTAGAAGAGACATGAAGAAGAGGGGACACATGTTGATGTAGAAGAGACATGAAGAAGAGAGGACACATGTTGATGTAGAAGAGACATGAAGAAGAGGGGACACATGTTGATGTAGAAGAGACAGGAAGAAGAGGATTTTTCATAATAGGTGACCTTTAAATAAAAAAGGACCTATGCAATCGTCTTTTAACCACCAACTTTTCGAATAACTACTCAACTAATTCTCATGAAACGTGGTGGAAGGGTTGAGCATGAGTAGATGAAGAGCCTATTGAATTTGGCCGATCCAAATCCGTCTATATTTTAAGATTATTGCCTTTTGAAAAAGTTATCATACGTAACATACCTAACTAGTGACCGTGACCTAAAGGTCGTTTTCTGACGGCATTGAATGATCCATTCCTAAAGAGTCGGCTTCTGTGTGTTCGTCAGGTCGACTCTGAGCAGCAGCTGAGGAGAATCACTCAGATGAGGATCGTTGAGTTCGATTATAAACCCGAGTTCGCCTCCAACATGGGAATAGACCACACCCACCAGACAGGTGACGACAGCACCATGACGTCTTTATGCTATTCAAACTGCAGGTGAGTAACTCTAACAGGACATGATGGTGTTTCAGGGATAATAGCTCAGGAGGTGAAGGAGCTGCTGCCTTCAGCGGTGACCGAGGTCGGAGACGTTTCCTGTTCTGACGGAAAGAAGATCCACAACTTCCTCATGGTGGACAAAGTAATCTCCTTGTTTTACTTTTACTCAGTGTTGTTTTGAAATTCAACATTTGACTTCAAGGATTCAAAGACTCAAGGCTTTTATTGTCATGTGTACATAGCTACAGTGTAGATATGACAACGAACATCTTAAAGGTGGGGTAGGTAAGTTTGAGAAACCGGCTCGAGATACACTTGTTGTTATATTCGATGGAATGCTCTTAACATCCCGATAGCAATGAATATCTGAAGTGCTTTGACAATAAATCCATACAAAAATGTCATCTGTGGAAGCCGTGGTACTGTAAAAAGTACAACCAATCCGTTTAGTCTGTCAGCCTTCCATCTCGTGCCCTCATTGGGCGTGCCGTCATTGGGCGTGCCCTCATTGGGCGTGCCCTCATTGGGCGTGCCCTCATTGGCGTGCCCTCATTGGGCGTGCCGTCGTTGGGCGTGCCCTCATTGGGCGTGCCCTCATTGAGCGTGCCCTCATTGGGCGTGCCCTCATTGGACGTGCCCTCATTGGGCGTGCCCTCATTGGGCGTGCCCTCATTGGACGTGCCCTCATTGGGCGTGCCCTCATTGGGCGTGCCCTCATTGGGCGTGCCCTCATTGGGCGTGCCCTCATTGGACGTGCCCTCATTGGACGTGCCCTCATTGGGCGTGCCCTCATTGGGCGTGCATTGCAGCAGTACTTCAATGACTCGCCAGAAACAGGCGGCCACTTTCACCAGTCTGCTGACGTCATGTCGCGTTCATGTGTGTTGGAGGAGGTGCTCTGTAAGGAAGTCTGAAGGAAGGGGCGGATTCTTTTCGGCTGTGTACTTTCAAATGTTAGTGCACTCGAGCCGGTTTCTGAAACTTACCTACCCCACCTTTAAGTCACACTTCAACAAATAGCAAAAAATGTCTTTCATATTAAAAGTTATTATAAACAACAAATAACAAAAGATGATGAGACCACTTGTATCAGACTCCTACCTAGCTTTCTAAAAGTTGTATTGTTGTTGAATCAATCTATCCCTTCTTTACATTTGTTTCGTCTATAAAAGGACAGAATAGTAAATCCCAAAATACTTTCTCCAAATGTCAACAAAGCCATATCCACAAAAAAATGAAAAGCCATTTACAAAACGTACACGTGTCTGAATTGAACATGACAATGTAAAAAGTCTCACTAACCTGTTTTATTTTCAAAACAACAAATACAGGTCAATACAAACCCATTTGTGAATTCAAGATTCAAGGCTTTATTGATCAGAACAGCAGAACAACATGAATATATGAATATATATATATAGGACATAGAACAAATAAAACAGACGAAACAGTTTATCCATTTGTAGTCAAAAATAACTTTTGTGCTTCCACTTTATGTCGAATGCAGAATCTCAGTTTGAGTTCAGAATCTCACAGGAAACTGAAATAAAGTGGTTTCTCTGTGCAGTTAACAAGGAATGTGTATAACCCTGTACTTCCTGGTCCTCTCCTGCAGGAGCAGATCTTCATGGAGAACGTGGGCGCGGTGCAGCAGCTTTCAAAACTCACAGACAACCTGGACACTCGGATCAAAGAGCTGGAGGTCTGGAACCGAAGGCTGGAGAAACTGAAGAGCCTCGGAGGCAGCCTGCGCTCCACCGGGTAACATATACTCATTTATTCATTCTGACACTTAAAGGTCTCCTATTATACTATTTCTAGGCATATATTATTGGTCTCAGATATATACAAATATATAAAAAACATGTCTATGATGTGTTTTGCTCAAAATAACCAAACAGATCATTCTTGCCTCATCCCCCTCTATTTCAGCTGTTACTAAAGTGCTGATTCTGGGTCTGTAGCTTTAAAAATAAATAACGTGACGTCAGCGGCTTCATTTGCCTAACCCTCCCTTAGGGAACTTATTCCGGTGTGAACGCGATCTGTACTTAGTTCCATGGGGGTACTAAGTGCTGGGCACTAAGTGCTGGGCACTAAGTACGGCAAAGTACTTGGTGTGAAAGCGGCTAAGGTAAACAAAGACCATAGTACATCCAAAACAGTCTGACAGCAACGTTTCTGATAGGCCCGTGGGTGTAAAGCCCGCCCACATTTGAGATATTACGTCATATCGGACGCAAATCTGGATCAGCTCCGTTGTTCCCCCGTTTTTAGAGATTTGGGTACAGAGGAATGAGAGAGGGTTTTGTTTTCTGACGCTGCGTGAGTTCCCCGACACACCGGGGACACTTTGTGATGTAGAAAAGACATCAGAAAGTGCATTTCTTTTTTCACGATAGGCGACCTTTAAAATACAGTCAATATCACCATTTATTAGAGTGGAGAAGGTCAACACTGAGCTCAGGTGTGTGGTAATGTTTATGAGAGTATGCCTGCAGGATATATCTTACACCTTCACCTGTGACAAAAAAGCAGAAATCTGTGTGTGTGTGTGTGTGTGTGTGTGTGTGTGTGTGTGTGTGTGTGTGTGTGTGTGTGTGTGTGTGTGTGTGTGTGTGTGTGTGTGTGTGTGTGTGTGTGTGTGTGTGTGTGTGTGTGTGTGTGTGTGTGTGTGTGTGTGTGTGTGTGTCAGTGTTATCAGTAAAAGTCACAGTTCAAGGACAAAGACGTCTCTGAAGGCTAATGTGAACAATAAAGTGTCTTCAAACACTAAAATCACGGGGTTTCTCCAGACTAAGGGGAAGGATGAACGTGTAAAGAGATTCTTTTCTTTTCTGGTGGAAAGGTGTTGTGGTAAAAATGAAAAATGACTAACTGAGGAAGGACTCGACAAGGAGTTGAAGGACGGTCGAGTTCACGTCTTTACATTACAGCAGAAATGTGGTAAAGGTCACAGATGGAGGACGCAAATTACATAATAATACAGTGACAATTTTCCAACTCAAACGTATAATTAATTATAATTATTAAATATAATAAATTACTAAACATTTTTGTTACATTTCTGGGACAAACTTATGTAAAACAAATGTTATATGAAGTTGTTAAAATATGTTTAGATGTAAAATATTAAACTTCATGGTTAATCCGAAGGTTAAATCTAAACGTGAGTATATAATACAATATACAACTTTATGTTATATCTATCTTTTAGTTTTAAATATAAATCTGGTATCAGTACTTTACTCCACTACTTATTCTGAGCTCTTTTTACTTTGACTTCTTGAACACAAATACCTGTACTTTCTACTTCTTACATGTTGAACACAAATACCTGTACTTTCTACTTCTTACATGTTGAACTCAAATACCTGTACTTTCTACTTCTCACATGTTGAACTCAAATACCTGTACTTTCTACTTCTTACATGTTTAACTCAAATACCTGTACTTTCTACTTCTTACATGTTGAACTCAAATACCTGAACTTTCTACTTCTTACATGTTGAACTCAAATACCTGTACTTTCTACTTCTTACATGTTGAACTCAAATACCTGTACTTTCTACTTCTTACATGTTGAACTCAAATACCTGTACTTTCTACTTCTCTCATGTTGAACTCAAATACCTGTACTTTCTACTTCTTACATGTTGAACTCAAATACCTGTACTTTCTACTTCTTACATGTTGAACTCAAATACCTGTACTTTCTACTTTTTACATGTTGAACTCAAATACCTGTACTTTCTACTTCTCTCATGTTGAACTCAAATACCTGTACTTTCTACTTCTTACATGTTGAACACAAATACCTGTACTTTCTACTTCTTACATGTTGAACACAAATACCTGTACTTTCTACTTCTCACATGTTGAACTCAAATACCTGTACTTTCTACTTCTTACATGTTGAACTCAAATACCTGTACTTTCTACTTCTTACATGTTGAACACAAATACCTGTACTTTCTACTTCTTACATGTTGAACACAAATACCTGTACTTTCTACTTCTCACATGTTGAACTCAAATACCTGTACTTTCTACTTCTTACATGTTGAACTCAAATACCTGTACTTTCTACTTCTTACATGTTGAACACAAATACCTGTACTTTCTACTTCTTACATGTTGAACTCAAATACCTGTACTTTCTACTTCTCACATGTTGAACTCAAATACCTGTACTTTCTACTTCTTACATGTTGAACTCAAATACCTGTACTTTCTACTTCTTACATGTTGAACTCAAATACCTGTACTTTCTACTTCTTACATGTTGAACACAAATACCTGTACTTTCTACTTCTTACATGTTGAACTCAAATACCTGTACTTTCTACTTCTTACATGTTGAACTCAAATACCTGTACTTTCTACTTCTTACATGTTGAACCCAAATACCTGTACTTTCTACTTCTTACATGTTGAACTCAAATACCTGTACTTTCTACTTCTTACATGTTGAACACAAATACCTGTACTTTCTACTTCTTACATGTTGAACTCAAATACCTGTACTTTCTACTTCTTACATGTGAACTCAAATACCTGTACTTTCTACTTCTTACATGTTGAACACAAATACCTGTACTTTCTACTTCTTACATGTTGAACCCAAATACCTGTACTTTCTACTTCTTACATGTTGAACCAAATACCTGTACTTTCTACTTCTTACATGTTGAACCTCAAATACCTGTACTTTCTACTTCTTACATGTTGAACTCAAATACCTGTACTTTCTACTTCTCACATGTTGAACCCAAATACCTGTACTTTCTACTTCTCACATGTTGAACCCAAATACCTGTACTTTCTACTTCTCACATGTTGAACTCAAATACCTGTACTTTCTACTTCTCTCATTTCCCAAACAGCTGGTTCCTTTAGTCTGAATGTGTGTTTGGTGCGTGATCATTATTCTTTAGAGTCATTGCGTGCCTATTGATTTGAACACGATCCGTGTATCCATCATTTCCTGGTCTTCTCTAAAGAAGAGGGACCAATGGCAACGTTGTCATGTTGCCGTTGTTCAGCATGGAAACATTCATTAGCTAACAATGACATTATTGTTCTATTAATATAAAGGGAGGTCAGGTACTCTTTAAAGCAGCTGCTAGTTATGGGTACTATTTACTGAAGTACACTTTCAAAGCCTCTTTACTTTGACTTGAGTAAAGAAGTTTAGTCAGTACTTCTACTTTCACCAGAGTATTTTTAAACACCAGTATCTGTACTTCTACTTGAGTAAAGGATGTGTGTACTTCTACTTGAGTAAAGGATGTGTGTACTTCTACTTGAGTAAAGGATGTGTGTACTTTTACTTGAGTAAAGGATGTGTGTACCTTGCCCTCTCAGCAGGAAACCCAGCAGTGTGTGTGTGAGTCCTGAGGAGGGGAAACCCGTCAGAGTTCAGAAGGAGAGCCGGAGTCAGAAGGTTCTTCGGCACAAAGTCTTCCAGGCCAGCGTCTTCACCCTGCTGGCCACCATGGCTTTCTGGTAACCTCACTTCCTGTTTATCATGGGAATGTATAATAATTCAATATATATGTAGGTTTCCTAATGTTCTCAGACAGAAGGGTGTCACCTTGACCGCCGTCAGGCAATTCTCTATGGATGTTAGGGTTGTAATGAACATGCTATACTTCCCCTTCTGTCTTAGACTGTAAAGTAAATGACGCAGCTGAATGAATCCTCGTCCTGTGTCTCCTCTGTTTAAAGTCATTGCTCTTCTGTGTGACTTGGTCAGATTTCTTTAGCACACATTGGTTCAGGTTATCTGTCCTTCCAGCTGGAAATACATTGATTCTGTAAAATGCTATAACTCTTTATTATTATTATATTAAACTTTGGTTTAAGCTTGTATATTTGTTCTTTTCTTGCCAGAAGGCGATTAAGTGTGGAATTTCCACCACACTGTTGTTAATATGTAGAAATAATACATGTAATATTGATTTAAAACAAAAATGTTCTGTTTTCAGCGTCATCTCTATCACGGCTATCTACCTGCTGAACCTGACTGACGACTCGGACATGAGGTACGCTGATTATTAAACTAACAACTAAAACACATCAAGAGACAGATTAATAAAACATTACTTCATTTGACAATATAAATATAATTAATAATCTCACATTTAGGAACAACAAAGCAACGATACTACAATTAAACATCTGAACTTTTGGAAGAACATCCATCTTATTGCATTTTGCTAATTATATATCTAATATATAATTCCATTTAATTGTAAATAGACTCATCTTGCACTGTTTCTATTTTATTTGTATTTACTTGCACATCTCAAAACATTCTCTTGCACTATTTTATCTGTTTTATTAGTTTTATGTCCCATATATATATATATATATATATATATATTCATGTTGCTCTGTTGGAGGAGCCTGGGACTTCAGATTTTCATTGTTCATATCTACACTGTAGCTGCTGAGCACATGACAATAAAGCCACAGTGTTGTTGTTTGTGCTGATTTTTGCTGTTGTTGTTGTTGTTGTCTGTTAGTAACGGCAGTGCGGAGCCTTTTCAGCCGACAGCCTGGAGCAGCCAAGGTAACAAACAACTATACATTATGCACGAGAATTAAAATAAAATAAGATGAAACTATTTAGATGTATCCCCTTGGGAAAATGCATTTAACCGTCTCGACAGTGTCAGAGTTGTTTTCGTGCAATAACACCCACCTTTCTCCCCCAGTCCCCCCCACCAGCCCCCCCGGCTCTTGGCCCCCAGATGTGGACTTCTGTGAGCTGCTGTACTGTGACCATGTGTACTGCTGCCCTCCAGGGGGCAGCACTGAGCCCAACATCACCTCCACACAAACATCTCATATGTCAGGTAACGCTACCAAAAAGAGACACAAAAAGACCTCAAAGATATCTTTTTTAATTGAATTATTATTCATTATGTATTATTTATTATTTAATTCAGTCCTGCATTGGTAGTAAGTGGTTATACCTGGGAATGGGGAGATATTATTGTATTTATTTGTTTGTAAATTGTTTGTATGTGTTTGGTTTGTGGAGCACTTTGTGTATGAAAAGTGCTTTATAAATAAAGTTTGATTTGATTTCTTCTGAATGGTTTGGTCTGACATCTCTCAGTGGATGTCTGCTCACCACCTCAAGCTCAACCTTGACAAGACTGAGCTGCTCTTCCTCCCGGGAAAAGATTGTCCCACTCTTGACCTAACAATCAACATCGGCACCTCAGTTGTTTCCCCGACTCAGACTGCAAGGAATCTGGGTGTGACCCTAGATAACAACCTGTCCTTCACTGCAAACATCGCTGCTACAACCCGCTGCTGCAGATACACGCTTTACAACATCAGGAAGATACGTCCCCAGCTGACTCAGAAAGCGACTCAGGTTCTGGTCCAGGCTCTCGTCATCTCACGCCTAGACTACTGCAACTCCCTCCTGGCTGGTCTACCTGCATGTGCCATCCGACCTCTGCAGCTCATCCAGAATGCAGCGGCTCGTCTGGTCTTCAACCTTCCTAAATTCTCCCACACCACTCCGCTCCTCCGCTCCCTTCACTGGCTTCCGGTAACTGCTAGAATCCACTTCAAGACACTGGTACTTGCTTACCATGCTGCGAATGGATCTGGCCCTTCCTACATCCAGGACATGGTTAAACCGTACACCCCAGCGCGTGCACTACGCTCTGCATCAGCCAAACGACTCGTTGCGCCCTCGCTGCGAGGGGGACCCAAGTTCCCATCGGCGAAAACACGTGGGTTTGCTGTCCTGGCTCCAAGATGGTGGAATGAGCTCCCCATTGACATCAGGACGGCAGATAGCTTGCACATCTTCCAGACTGAAAACTCATCTCTTTCGACTCCACTTCGAGCATTAGAACTATTAACAAAGCACTTATATACTAATAAAGGACTGGCTTATCTAAAGCCAGTTGAGTAGCACTTGAAATGTTTGGCTCTATGAAACCTGATGTACTTTATGATTCTGTTTTCTTCAAGGTTGTGTCTTCCTGGTCGAATGTACTTATTGTAAGTCGCTTTGGATAAAAGCGTCAGCTAAATGTAATGTAATGTCTGTTTTTGGTTTACAGAAAAAAGAAAAGAAAAAACTTACGACCAGATGAAACTGGCTGGAGATTGTAAGTGTATTACTTCTACATTTTAAACTCAAACAGCAGAATACAAATAGTCTGGTTTTAATATTGTATCAGTCATTAGAGCTTAGTTTAAGTCAGGACGATGCAGATTAAAACAATATCAGCATCTGTTTTGCACACAATGCGAGATGTTTCATTAAAATGCATCTCTAATCATCTGTTTTCTCAATTAGGGACGAACACCACCATCCAATCCTTTATGATCAAAGAGAGCCAGCAGGTGATCGACAGCAAATACTGCCTGAGAACCGAATGTGGGTAAGTGAGACAGACGAAAGACTAAATAAACCTTATTTACTCTGACCGTGTCTTAGAAAAACCTTTCGTTACTGTAAAATATGCCGTTTTATTATTGATTTCCGTGTGTTTCCTTCAGGCCCGGGAGATACGTCTTCAGAGTTCCTGTCAGTCAGTTTGTCCCAGTCAACATGAGAGTCACGCTGATCATGAAGTGAGTTTAAATGAACCCTAAATATTTAGACTATAAGGGAAGTCTTATGTTCGAACAGCTCCAGATAATTGGAAATATCAACTTTATTTTTAGTCAATATTGAAAATAATAATGAAAATCTTTATGATGTTTTGTAATTGTAAACTTTGTGACTAAACCAAAGGTATTAGGGTTTAAATGAAAACTATTTTAACAGCAATTTACTTAATGTTTTGTTAAATTGAACAAAGATACATTATTTATTCGATTAATTAAAGAGGGTTAGGAAATAGAATAATCATTACCCTCAAAATGTATACATTATCACAGGTTATTACCCATAGTCTCTACTTTCTAAGTAGATAGATAGATAAATACTCTATTGATCCCAATTTGGGAAATTGTTTTGTTACAAAAGAAGCATCCGTGTGTTCAGACATAAAATACAAAATACTTAAAAAGTGGAACAGAGAATTTACAATTAAAAATGTAAAGTAAAAATCAAATGCAAAATATTATAACAATTCTGGATAATTAAAATGTTCTAAAAAAGTCAAAAATACTGCGGTTAGTAACAGGAATATATGTTTACAGTACAGGAGCATAGACATACTTGTATATACATAGGATAGTAAAACAATATAGGATAGTAACGTATCTCTTATTACTAAAATTACAAATGATTGTATTAATACATTATCTTCATTGTAACGGAGGTGATCTCTGGGCCCATAGATCTCGGCCTCCGTTACGGGTAATATAGCACTAAAAACATTGCATGGGAATGTAAGTTATGTAACTAGTTTGTCTGTCTCTGTTTCCTGGTTTCATGTTAAAAGTGTTCCCCTTCCCCCATGTCTGTGGCTGTTGATTGTGTGCACCTGGTGCCCTGTGTTGTCTCCTCCCCCCACCTGTGTCGAATTGCTGATTAGTGTGTGTATTTAGGGTCTGTTGCCCTGTCTGTTTAGAGGCTGGTAGTGTGTGTGAGATCCTGGTGGCTGCAGGCTGTGCCCACGTGAACAGCAGCAGCAGGATTGAGGCTGTGGGTAGTGATGGCGAGATGAAGCCTTATGAAGCTTTGAAGCTTTCCAGCCAATTGGTTCGCAAAAGGGTTCATCTCATGAGGCTTCATCATGGGCTTCATCTGAACACAAACCCCCTGTTGGTCAAAGTGTGTAAAACAGGCAGATTGGACATCTCAACAGTGTGCTGTATCTCATACCGAGTTCCCAATGAGTAAAGCCTTAGAATAACTCTAAACAACGAACATTAAATCATATTTTCATGTTAACAATATTGTTTTTATTCCAGTTGAATGATTGTGATTGAAAAGCCTAAGGAGGCTGGTAAACATTACAAATAGGGATTTGTATTCCTTAATAATATTCATAAACGTAACCATGTTGTAGCCTGAGAAAGGCTAAACCATATCAAAGAATACATTTATTAACTACATTATCTCATTTAGCTGTAGCTTTTATAAACAACAAAAAAGACATATTGACGAGTCGTTGAACCAGGAACCCTGCGATCGTGAGTCAACTGCTTTCCAGCTGAGCCACAGCACACACGCTGAATCTCCCTGAAAATACTGTAACATATTTATTCCTGTATTTATTCATTCATGGTTTTTTTCCTACATTTATTTATGCTTGTATCTATTTATACTTATGACATGTTCCGACCTCTATATAGGTGAGGTTTTGAGCTCTTTTAATTCCATCGTGTCACCGGGCCCGGGTACAGGAGGGGTAATATGGTTCTTATTATACATCCATGGGTATTATGAGCGTTGTGGTTCAACGGTTCAACCGATCTGAATGGCTTCGTGAAGCAGTCACGTGGTATCGACAGGCAGCGAGGCTTCGTTTGTCATCGATGACGTCACTGGCCCAAAACGATACAAGCCTCGATACATGCTTCACAAAAAGCTTCGGGGATTACTCGACACACGCTCCGAAGCCTCGGCGCAATACGTAACATCACTAGCTGTGGGTATTGTGTTCATGCTGTAATAAATGCCCACACCGGGTTATATTTGGGACGTGCTGCCTCTGCCTCCTTGCTTGGTCTGGGCCGCTCAATTGTCAGCTTCACATTCATGTATACAACATTTGCAAAAAAGTGTTGTAAATATTGGAATTTGGACATGGTAATAGCTATAAATAAAAATAAAGACATGACAGTAAATACATTTATGTTGTCATAAATGTATTTATATTTACATTAATATATATATTTATGTTATTTCTGTGTAGCTCCACAGAGCTGCTGGTGGTTCACCTCTGCAGCCTCGATGAGTCGGCGCCTTGCTCTGCTCTGCTGGATCTAGACAGCGTCTCAGGGAGTAGATACCCGACAAACACACAGGTAAATATCACACATTTACAGTTATCACCTAAAAAAGGATATTTTTATATCAAAAGGCGTGCCCCAGGGCTCCATACTGGGACCACTACAGTTCAGAATACCTTTATTGTCACCTAAAAAAGGCTGTTTTTATATCAAAAGGCGTGCCCCAGGGCTCCATACTGGGACCACTGCAGTTCAGAATACCTTTATTGTCACCTAAAAAAGGCTGTTTTTATATCAACAGGCGTGCCTCAGGGCTCCATACTGGGACCACTACTGTTCTCCATAAATGTCAATAATCTACGATAATTTCTATGGAGATGATACAGTTATCTATTGTTCATTTCCAACAGCAGAAATCTATGTTAATTATTATATGTTATTCGTTAAATTGAGCTATATGGTATATTATATTACATTTAGCTGACGCTTTTATCCAAAGTGAGTACAAAGTCAAAGTCCACTTTATTGTCAATCTTTCAGTTTGTGTGTACAGACAGAGAGATCGAAATACTGTTTCCCACAATCCAGAATACAAAATACAAATATATATAAAAATATGTATGCCAATATCTATATACCTTAAGACACATTGATACATATGCACATAAACCATAAGGATTCAAACTAAAAACAACAACGCTGACATATTTACTTCAAACAAGCCAGACCATAGTAAGTTCTGGTAACGTTAGTAGGGCCATCAGTAACTTAACTCTAGATTGGTTATTTCTTTATTAAAATACATTGTTTCAGGGATAACAGTCCTTTTTAACTTTGGGCTTTCGATCCACTAGGACCTTTTCTTTTTAAGCGGTTTGGTTTTTCGTAAAAATGGCCAATGGTAAACAATACTGCATGCTTGAGGAAACTTGTGTGTGTGTTTGTTTGCGTTGGTTTGAGGGTCACTGAGGTTCCAGTCCACTAACTCAGTTACCATTACAGTAAATAATGCAGGAAGAGTTGGAAGACACTGATCAATAATGAATGCGTGGCAGTGTTTCCCTCACATCAGGACGTCAACATGCTAATCTCAGCAAAGCTCACTCTAATCCCGGACATGGAGACCAATCTCAAAGTGAAAGACAGAATACAGAAGAGGTGGAAAAAGATATTTTACTCGAGTAAAATGAGTAACACTTTCCATTTTCTGATCACCCCGAGTAATGGTTTTGTTGATTCTGAGACGTTGTTTTTATTTGTTTTAACTAAATGTATTTATATTTAATTAACGTATATCTGATGTTTTTCTCTCTGTGTTTCTGCAGGGAGAACATGAATGGAATCTCCACGTCGCTCGTCTTTATCACAGCTCGTATCACTTTCGCTCCACAGTGGCCGTAAGAAACACACTTTTCTTTTTAAAGTGGCCCTACTCTGCTGATGTTCAGGTGTATATCAGTATGTAGTGTCTCTAATTTAAAGAGTCCTCTCCTGCTGATGTTCAGGTGTATATCAGTATGTAGTGTCTCTACTTTAAAGAGTCCTCTCCTGCTGATGTTCAGGTGTATATCAGTATGTAGTGTCTCTACTTTAAAGAGTCCTCTCCTGCTGATGTTCTGGTGTATATCAGTATGTAGTGTCTCTACTTTAAAGAGTCCTCTCCTGCTGATGTTCTGGTGTATATCAGTATGTAGTGTCTCTACTTTAAAGAGTCCTCTCCTGCTGATGTTCAGGTGTATATCAGTATGTAGTGTCCTCTACTTTAAAGAGTCCTCTCCTGACTGATGTTCAGGGTGTATATCAGTATGTAGTGTCTCTACTTTAAGAGTCCTCTCCTGCTGATGTTCTGGTGTATTCAGTATGTAGTGTCTCTACTTTAAAGAGTCCTCTCCTGCTGATGTTCTGGTGTATATCAGTATGTAGTGGTCTCTACTTTAAAGAGTCCTCTCCTGCTGATGTTCAAGGTGTATATCAGTATGTAGTGTCTCTACTTTAAAGAGTCCTCATCTGCTGATGGTTCAGGTGTATATCAGTATGTAGTGTCTCTACTTTAAAGAGTCCTCTCCTGCTGATGTTCAGGGTGTATATCAGTATGTAGTGTCCTCTACTTTAAATAGTCCTCTCCTGCTGATGTTCAGGTGTATATCAGTATGTAGTGTCTCTACTTTAAAGAGTCCTTCCTGCTGATGTCCAGGTGTATATCAGTATGTAGTGTCTCTACTTTAAAGAGTCCTCTCCTGCTGATGTTCAGGTGTATATCAGTATGTAGTGTCTCTACTTTAAAGAGTCCTCTCCCTGCTGATGTTCAGGTGTATATCAGTATGTAGTGTCTCGTACTTTAAAGAGTCCTCTCCTGCTGATGTTCAGGTGTATATCAGTATGTAGTGTCTCTACTTTAAAGAGTCCTCTCCTGCTGATGTTCAGGTGTATATCAGTATGTAGTGTCTCTACTTAAAGAGTCCTCCTCCTGCTGATGTTCAGGTGTATATCAGTATGTAGTGTCTCTACTTTAAAGAGTCCTCTCCTGCTGATTTTCAGGTGTATATCAGTTATGTAGTGTCTCTACTTTAAAGAGTCCTCTCCTGCTGATGTTCAGGTGTATATCAGTATGTAGTGTCTCTACTTTAAGAGTCGGCTCTCCTGCTGATGTTCAGGTGTATATCAGTATGTAGTGTCTCTACTTTAAAGATTCCTCTCCTGCTGATGTTCAGGTGTATATCAGTATGTAGTGTCTCATCTTTAAGAGTCCTCTCCTGCTGATGTTCAGGTGTATATCAGTATGTAGTGTCTCTACTTTAAAGAGTCCTCTCCTGCTGATGTTCAGGTGTATATCAGTATGTAGTGTCTCTACTTTAAAGAGTCCTCTCCTGCTGATGTCAGGTGTATATCAGTATGTAGTGTCTCTCTACTTTAAGAGTCCTCTCCTGCTGATGCTTCAGGTGTAGATCAGTATGTAGTGTCTCTACTTTAAAGAGTCCTCTCCTGCTGATAGTATCTTCAGCGTGTATATCAGTATGTAGTGTCTCTACTCTTAAGGTCTTTCCCCTGCTGATGTTCAGGTGTATATCAGTATGTAGTGTCTCTACTTAAGAGTCCCTCTCATGCTGAGTTCAGGTGTATATCAGTATGTAGTGTCTCTACCTTAAAGAGTCCTCTCCTGCTGATGATTCAGGTGTATATCAGTACTGTAGCGTCTCCCTACTTTAAAGAGTCTTCTCCTGCTGATGTTCAGGTGTATATCAGTAGTAGTGTCTCTACTTTAAAGAGTCCTCTCCCTGCTGATGTTCAGGTGTATATCAGTATGTAGTGTCTCTACTTTAAAGAGTCCTCTCCTGCTGATGTTCAGGTGTATATCAGTATGTAGTGTCTCCATGCTTTAATGTAATATATTAAGTGTGTGTTATTGTCTTTAACCTCAGGGTCAGGCAGACTGTAATACCGATCATCACCTGGCGGGGGCGCTCTTCACAGATTACCACCTCCACTTCTACAGACGCTGCACAGACTCGTAGTCCCACGTTTAAAAGATTTGAAAAAGTGTTTTTTTTAACACAATATGACAATCAGATTAATTTAAGACTTACTTCTGCTCTGTTTTGTTTTTGTTTTGTTTTGATTGTAATATGAGTCGCTTTAGCTGATGGATTGTTCTGTATAATAGCAAATAACAAAAGTGGAATTTGCCTCGATATCCAACTAATATGAGATTAAAGTCATACATGTATGAGTAAAAAGGAGACTATTCTTCTCGGATTAAATCAGTAACATCAGTTTTTTTATGCAAATGTATGATTTTTAATGTTAATTTCCTTATTTTGACGACCAGAATTACATTTTTTCTCAAAATAATGCAAGCTTACTTTATCCTTTTTGCTTTTCCATATATTGACTGGAGAGTTATACATTATTATATATATTTAAAGGCCTTTCGTATCAATTACAAAAGACCTTTGCCAAGACATTGCATATTTAAGTGACTCCAATTACAGTCTATGCTATAGTTTCATGAAAACGTTTTTTTTTTTTTAATGTAAAGCACTGATCCCAGGACTGTGTAAAATAATTTTGGGATTCTTTTAAAAATTCCAAGAAATTAGATGTGTGAATGAAGCACGAGTGTTGATCTCAGAAGTGTATCTGTTCGTACATCAACTGTTATTTGTAATGACGTCAATAAATGAAGAAAATACAGTAGACATGTTTTCTTATTTATGAAATTCGAGTAAGTCTTTATTCTGAGACCTTAAAAGAAAGCAGTGATTATAAGATGTTAAAGTTACTTATCAAAATAAACGTTAATGTAGTTTAAGTGTTCTGCTGGTGTGAAAATGTTCCATGAGCTAAACTGAACGTGACTGCTCTGCTTTATGTGAAATGAAAACTAATAAACAGTGAAGTGTGTTTTAAAATGTCATTGTGGCTGTCTTTTTTTTTTACAGTTTTACACAATGCCAATAAGTCCCCACAATGCTGATAAGTCCCCACAATTCTGATAAGTCCCCACAATGCTGATAAGTCCCCACAATGCCGATAAGTCCCCACAATGCCGATAAGTCCCTACAATGCTGATAAGTCCCCACAATGCCGATAAGTCCCCACAATGCCGATAAGTCCCTACAATGCTGATAAGTCCCCACAATGCCGATAAGTCCCCACAATGATGATAAGTCCCCACAATGCTGATAAGTCCCCACAATGCTGATAAGTCCCCACAATGCTGATAAGTCCCCACAATTCTGATAAGTCCCCACAATGCCGATAAGTCCCCACAATGCCGATAAGTCCCTACAATGCTGATAAGTCCCCACAATGCCGATAAGTCCCCACAATGCTGATAAGTCCCCACAATGCTAAAAAGTCCCCACAATGCTAAAAAGTCCCCACAATGCCAATAAGTCCCCACAATGCAGTCATAATAACCAACGCAACATTATAACTCTTGACAGTAAACGTGCAGAGAAAAGGAGAGTATAGAACAAAAACACGCTAAAAAGAATAATAAATAAGACTCTTAATTACTGCATTTTAACGGGAAAATATTGCCACACATCCTCTCTGTTTTGCAAAATATAGTAGTTCATTTGAAGTACAATTTGTACCTGATAAATGGCAGATTCACACAACGTTAAGATCAAAGACGACCTCCGAAATTACTACAACTTACTAGCGTTCCTCAGGAAATACTTGGATATATACCGTCACCAGATAAGGCAGTCTAACGGCCCGTCCACACACAGGCATGAAAAAAATCTTGAAAAATCTTGATGCTGGGCGTGTCTGAAGCTTGGCGATTTCACGCGCCCAAGGCGACCAACAACCAATCACATGAATCTCCCGCCCCCGACATACAAAGCAATAGCAATGTTAAAACGAAGTAAACTGGATATAAACTCCCCAAACAGGCGAAAACCTACCAGTTTCACCCACTGTCTCTGTCTCCTCCCTCCATGCCTGCTTCCTCCACTGTCTCTGCCTCCTCCCTCCATGCCTGGCTCCTCCGGTTTGTATCCCGGTAAATAGTTCTGGTCGTAAAGAACCGGGTGATTTGCTACCGTAATTTCTCGTTTGGAATATGAGGAAATGAACTGCGGTCTGGCTCTCCCAGCTTGCACGCGGGTTGATTGGCTAGAGCTTGTACTGGCGGGATTTGAATAAACGGGATTTGATTGGCTGATGCCAGCTTCGAAAGCATCGAGCCTCAAAAGTTGAACATTGCTCAACTTTTGATGCTCACGATGCTTGCAAAGCCATGCTCCGCTCCCCACAATGCAGTTCGGCGAAGATTTAAAATCTTCTACGTCACCCCATTCAAGTGAATGGGCGAAGCTTTGAAAGATTTTTTTCGATGCCTGTAGTGTAGACGGGCCGTAAGGCATATTACAGTTATATAAATGTATGTTCTTTACATGGTTGAAAAATAATAATAAATACATATAATTGAAAAGGTAGCTTTACAAAATTGAACAAATGCAGATTTTAAATGAGAAAAATTATTAATAATTAATAGAATGTGTTCTTGTTGAGACACTTCTTAGGAAGATGCAATCAGAAACTCCAGAACAAATATTGGATACATGGTTGGTTATCTTAACAAACTCCCTCCTTAGCTGTGGACACACACACACACACACACACACACACACACACACACACCACACACGCACACGCACACGCACACACACACACACACACACACACACACACACACACACACACACACACACACACACACACACACACACTGATGACTAATTCAGGTGGAGGAGGTGCAGCAGAAACAAACTAATTGGGTGTC